AATGTCTGATAAAGTTAAATTAAAATCGTAAAAAAAAAATGTTTCCTTTCAACTTCTGTCCATATTAACTCTTTTTTGTTCTAGAGTGGATGGTCAGGTTTAATTAGATGTCACAAGTAATTTAATTAGAAAGAAAGAAAGATTGCTCAACTGCGACATAATATGTGTCCTACTATATGGCAGGGAATGCTGGAATTTTTTTCCCACGTGAAGAGGACATGATAGATAGACATGTGGTTGTACAGAAGGATACTGAGGATGCCATAGACAGAACATACAAACAACGAGGAAGTATAAAATAAAATGGAAACAAATAGCACGCTTAAACATAGAATCAGAAAGAGACAGTTGAAATTTCCAAGACACATAATGAGGAGAGCGGGCTAAGAAAATTGGAAACTCAAAGGGCATATTGAAGGCGAGAGGACAGAGGAAAAAAACGGATAACATACTTAAAGAGTATGCGTATATTGAAGGCAGAATAGGGAGGGGATATAAGAAGAGATAAATATTGCTAAGCGCTACAGAATATTGGAGGATACGGAGAGTCATGATCGCCGACGGACTAAAAAGACATGGCACATGAAAAATTAGCAGTCTTCCATTTTGCTTTTTCTCGAAATGATTTTCTATTCTAGACACGTCAGTGAATGGGCGGATGGTTTAACAGATTCCGACTGAAAATCAGAAATCGGCGAGAAGAGATCGATTTCCAGTAGGGTTCGGATCTCTTCCCCCGTACTGTGGGTTAAATAGTTGGACTTCTGCATAGAAATGACATTGTTACTCTAAAGAAAAATAAATTAGTGCAATCTTCACTCGCCAAACTAAAACTTTATTCTTAAGATCCCCAACATATTGTTCCACTTTAAATGACCTAGCAAGGCATGAAAAGCCGTAAAAATCAAATCCATCAATCAATCAATAGAGACATGGGTTATCTGCTTAAAAACACCCCGAAAAACTATTTCTATTTTCTTGCTCTCTCTGCGGTATTCCGTTCTATATCGGGGGATAAGTCAAAATTAGGTATTCGCAATGTTCTTTATTTTTGTTAGCCATATTCAGTCTTCTTGCGTCCATGTTAGATTTAGAGATGTTAAATATTTTTTATCTCCTTCTCTAGATCTGCCCATTTGTTCTAGATGGGGCGAACAATTTAACTCCCTCACAATTCTTTTCGTTTGTCTAGATATTATCCTTTTGTTTCCGATAGTGAAAAAAAAAACGTTTTAATTAGGCTTACAACCTTTTTCTTTAATTCTCTTTTTCTTAAAAATTTATAAATCTGGACATTATTTCTATAATGGAAGATTAGATTATATTACATGTTCTGAAATTTCTTTTCGTCTATCAAATCTGGTTCTAACTGCTCGATTTCTGTTCTAGAGTGGGAAGCCAGTTTAGTTTCACTTCTTTTTATATAGCTTATTCATTTAAAAAATACACCGTCAATGGCTCTCCACAACATTCTGTCTCTTGTACCGCTAAGAAACAGTTGCTTATTTGCAATCGTTCTGTCTCCACTTTGTCAAACAGTTATATGCCATGCGTGATACACGCTTAGGCGATCATGTATCTTTTGATACATGACTGACGAGGCAGATTTTTTCCCGAAGTAGGTTGACCAGTTGCCATCCAAGACTATAGAACCCGTTCTTTCCTGCTATTTACCCACAGATTGGGGGAAAAGAAGAAAATACTAAACTTTCTCCAGTGAATTGGCAGGTAAGTGAATGAAATGGGTTCGACTGGAATACGAACTCGGTGTGACGATGTCTCAAACCGAGCCGCTATTCATTACGCCAACGTGCCTCCTCCTTTGCCAGACAGCCACACAAATACGTCAATGATTTCATCGTTTCTTCCTGGTCTTCAAACCTTTACTATATTCTTGGAGTTTTAGATTTTCCAAGTTATCTTTTCTAATAATGTGTCCTAGGGATTTCAACTGTCTCTCTTCAGATTCTGAGTAATGTCTTATTTTTGTTTCATTTTTCGTTCTGGTTTCTGAGATATTCCGTCCGTGTTATTGATAGTATTTTTCTGTAGAAACATGTCTCTCATTGCCTCGAGTTACTTTTCCATCTGTGATAGTATCTACGAGCATTCACTGGCAAATTGTAGAAGTCGGAATGGTAGTAATAATATAAATAGTGGTAGGAAAAGTAAAATAAGTCTAAGAACGCAAAAGACAAAAGAACAGGAGTGATACAAGTAAATAAAATATAACTGAAAATGGTAAAGAGGTGATAAAAATGGTAAACAGGCGGTAAGAATGGAAAACAGGATGTTAAGAATGGTGAAGTGGTGATAAGAATGGTAAACAGGCGGTAAGAATGGCAAACAGGTAGTAAGGATGGCAAACAGGCGGTAAGAATTGTAAAGTGGTGATAAAAATTGTAAAGAGGTGTTAAGAATGGTAAACAGGCGGTAAGAATGGCAAACAGGTGGTAAGAATGGTAAAGTGGTGATAAGAATGATAAATAGGCGGTAAGATTGGTAAACAGGCGGTAATAATAGTAAACAGGCGGTAAGAATGATAAACAGGTGGTCAGAATCATAAACAGGCGGTAAAATGGTAAACAGGTGGTAAGGATCTTAAACAGGCGGTAAGAATGGCAAACAGGTAGTAAGAATGCCAAACAGGCGGTCAGAATTGTAAAGTGGTGATAAAAATGGTAAAGAGGTGTTAAGAATGGTAAACAGGCGGTAAGAATGGCAAACAGGTAGTAAGAATTGCAAACAGGCGGTAAGAATGGTAAAGTGGTTATAAGAATGATAAATAACCGGTAAGATTGGTAAACAGGCGGTAAGAATGGCAAACAGGCGGTAAGAATGGTAAAGTGGTGATAAGAATGATAAATAGGCGGTAAGATTGGTAAACAGGCGGTAATAATAGTAAACAGGCGGTAAGAATGATAAACAGGTGGTAAGAATCATAAACATGCGGTAAAATGGTAAAAAGGTGGTAAGAATCTTAAACAGGCGGTAAGAATGGTAAACAGGTGGTAAGAATGGGAAACAGGTTGTAAGAATTCGAAATTAAAGAAAAACAGAAAATAATTTAGAGGTATAAATCAAGCGAGAGTTGAGAAGAAAAATTAAAACAATGAATACTTAGAAAACAAAGAGAAAGGGAAGACTGTTAGGAGAAGAAAAAAGGTCGAGTTGCAAAATAATAAATGGAATTTAATGAAGAAAAAATAGAAAACACTTGATGGAATAAATAAAGTGGGTACAACCGTAAATATTAAAGGGCAACAAATTATGAAGAAGGAGCGAATATGGAATAATATTAACGGAAATATATTTTAAATTGCAGGAAAACATTATTAGGGGAATGTTGTGGTAGGATCCACCTAATTTGCATAATGGAGTACCGACCATATAAATATGGTTGGTACCGGGAAGAGAGGGAGGAATCAAGAGATTCAACCAGAGACTCTGCCCGACTGCGACTCAGTCAACACATTCTCCCGGAACGGTCTTACCAGGAATATACAAAAGACTATATGTAAATATTGTGTACACTTTCTTGTTTCAATACATTTTGTTCTAAGTACATTTTGTGTTGCATTATTATTCCATGCATTAGTCAAGTTTCAACAGGGAATGTAGAAGAAAAAGGAAAAAATGAGAAGGAGAAAAACAAGAAGTAAGAGAAGATAAATTTAAAGACATTGAGAAAAAATATGATGATGAAGAAGAAGAAAGAAGAAGAAAGCTACAGACAAAGGAGAAGGGAGTTAAAGATGTATGATAAAGATAAAGAAGAAAAAATAATAATAGAGAAGAGGAAGAAGAAGAAAGAAAAAAAGAAAGAAAGAAGTATGATGATAAAGTACAAGTAAATTTATACCAAAGTAAGAGGGGAATAGATTTAAAGAAATATGATTATAAAGATGAAGAAGAAAAAGAGAAACGATAGTGAAGAAAGAGAATAGATTTAAAGTAGTAGGATGATAAAGAAGAAGAAGAAGAAGAAAAGAAGAAGAAAAGAAGAAGAAGAAGAAAAGAAGAAGAAGAAGAAGAAGAAGAAGGAGAAGAAGAAGAAGAAAAGAAGAAGAAAAAGAGGAACGATAGTGAAGAAAGAGAATAGATTTAAAGTAGTATGATGATAAAGAAGAAGAAGAAGAAGAAGAAGAAAAGAAGAAGAAGAAGAAGAAGAAGCATGGATTTCAAGAAATAGGCTTTCAGAAGAAATGAAGAAGAAAAAGAATAATATGAAGACAAAATTAATAGACGTATATTAACAAAGAATCAGAAGAAGAAAATGTATGATTCGGAAGAAGATAAAGAAGAAGGTTAAAGACAAAGGTGGAGGGACTTAACGCTGTATGATGAAGAAAGAAAATAATAATAATAATAATAATAATAATACAGAAGAAGAAGACACAGATGAGAGGAGTATGATGATAAAGAAGAAGGAAATTGACACGAAAGTAAAAAGTACAGTTTTAACGAAATAAGATTATGAAGAAGGAAAAGAAGAAGAAAGAGAATGCATTTGAAGTACAAGGATGATAAAGAAGAAGAATGATATGGAAGAAGAGGAAGTATAGATTTAAAGAAATATGATGAAAAAGCAGATGAAGAAGAAAAAGAATAATACGGAAGAAAACAAAATTAAAAGAAATATATTAACAAAGAATCAGAAGAAGAAGAATTATAATGCGGAGGAAGAAGAAGTAATCCAGTAGTATGATGATAAAGAAGAAGAGAATAAAGAAGAAGAAGAAGAAGAAGAAGAAAAAGAAGAAGAAGAAGAAAGATGAGCATAAAATTTTTAAAAGAAAGTATGATGATAAAGAAGAAGAAAACGAAAATTTAGGTTAAGGAAGAAGAGTGAAAAAAATATATCCTACAGAAGAAACCTTCATCAACATAAGTCTTTTAATTTTTATAATTAAATGACGTATGTTGATAAAGGATCATAGGTGTGAAAAATAATAATAATAATAATAATAATAATAAGAAGAAGAAGAAGAAGAAGAAGACTAACAAGAAGAAACGGAAGAAGAAGAAGAAGAAGAAGAAGAAGAAGAAGAAAAAGATGAACAAGAAGAACAACAAGAACGAGAACAAGAGCAAGAAGAAGAAGAAGAAGAAGAAGAAGAAGAAAAGAAGAAGAACAAGAACAAGAGCAAGAAGAAGAAGAACAGGAAGAAGAAGAAGAAGAAGAAGAAGAAGAAGAAGAAGAAGACTAACAAGGAGAAGAAGAAGACGAAAAGGAAAAGACGAAGAAGAAGAAAAGAAGAAGAAGAAGAGGACAAGAACAAGAGCAAGAAGAAGAAGAACAGGAAGAAGAAGAAGACTAACAAGAAGAAGAAGAAAAAGAAAAAAAGGAAAAGAAGAAGAAGAAGAAGAACAACAACAACAACAACAAGAACAAGAGCAAGAAGAAGAAGAAGAAGAAGAAGACGAAGACTAACAAGAAGAAGAAGAAGAAAAGAAAAAGAAGAACCGGAAGAAGAAGAAGAAGAAGAAGAAGAAGAAGAAGAAGAAGAACAAGATGAAAAAGAACAGGAAGAAGAAGGAGAAGAGGAACAAGAAGAACAAGAACAAAAGAAGAAGAAGAACAAGAAGAACAAGAAGAACAAGAAGAACAACAACAACAAGACCAAGAAGAAGAAAAGAAAGAAGAAAGCTGGGTAGAAAGAGAAACAAAATAGAAATGAAAAAGAAAGGGAAGAAAATAGAAAAACAGAGACTTTTAGCAGGAATATGAAAGGGAATTAGCGAATGTTGTGAAACGCTTTTATTTGTGTGAGTACACTGGAGAATTCAACATTTGTTAGGAAAGCTGCAAAGAAATGACAAGTTGTATCCTTTGAATGAAGCAGGGTGCACACCCCGACCAAGCTTCACCCTTCGTCACTCACCCATTCTGTACCATTTGGAATAATTTTGCCCCGAGGGTAGGAAACGTGTAAGTGACAGTTATGTAGATTAAGTAAAATGGTCGAAAATGGCGCTCGTTACAAAGCCTCGCATCACAGCATGTTGAAATTGACGTTTGCAAGCGACCTCCCCCGCTATTAAAATCTCCACAGAGCAAAGCTGATGGCCAGAAAAGACAGCTTGCTACGAGTGAAGATTATACAATGCAGTTAAAGCTGATTGCCGGACCAAATATGAACACAGAATAACCACACTCATGCCGAAGCGGGAAACGTTAGTGTAAGGCCGTTAAATCCATTCCTTTCGTCGTCTTCTTTATATCTTTCATCTTTAATCACCATTACCCCTATTGCCGATTTGGTCAATATTAGCTGGCCCTGTGTGACGAGTGGCGCCATCTGTGCATCTGCTATTTTGACATGATTACTCAAACAGCCACCTTTTCATATACATTTCTTTCATCTCACCACGTTCGATGTCCTGTTTCATTGCTACATCGATTTTAACGTGTAATCGTTTCGGGAGGAGACACAAAATACAGAAAAAATGCCAGAAGAAAAAAAAATGAGACGATCCATTGTAAACAAAAAACAAATTTTACAAGTATGTAAATGTACTAAATCTTTAGCAATAGGCAATTGATATTAAGCTATTAGATCAATAAGATCCGAGACTGTTCAACAAAATTTCAACAGATCTCAGCTTCACTGATTCATTTTACTACAAAAGGGATTTTATTCTCCCTATTTTTTCTGTGATTTAAGCGCGCCTAATGTACAGTTTTTTTGGTTTTTTTTAAAATATTAATGTCAACACGGTACAAGGCTAGAGCGCCAATCAAATTAGAAGATTACTGTTAAAATGGTTATCATGAATTGGTTGTGCAGTATAAGAGAATGCGTTAGAACCTTAGGTTTATGAGAATGAGGCTTGATCCTTGACCTAAAGAGATTAAGCTTGTTGCATTTTAGGAAACATTTATGGGGAATATTGACCCACAAATTAGTATCTATTTAGAAAAATTAGACAAAAAGGAAAATCACTCACATTTTGCATTGATAAAGCTCTTCATAATGTTTTAACTGTAATTAAGAATACAATTTTTCGTATTTCTTTAAGGTATGGACTACCACGAAACCATTCAGTGAATCTGTCGGAACCCTTTCTAATAAATCTTTGTGTTGCAAATGCAAATGGTATCACTGGTGTCCGTATGTGCGACAATTTTTTTTAGACGTCCACTTCAAGATATTCCTATCTTCGTAATTATTTTTAATCTCCAACGATACATTACAATCTGCAGGAACTGCCATATCAATAAAACTTTTTTGTTTCTGTGGTCATTGATCACGGTGTCTGGGAAATTAGCTTTCATTTTACTGTCTCTGTGTGTTGTAAGGTACCTTAAAATTGTTTTATGTCTGAAAATGGTCTAAGGTCCTGTTCATACCAATTTTTTTTTAATGTCTTCTTGTAAAAGTTAAAGATTTTCCAGTGCAGATACCAGGAATACCTTCAATGGGTCTATCGGAACTGCTTCCAATAAATACGACCCCACCATTAACAACAGTAATTACTGATGTCTTCACGTACACAATTTTGAGATTTTCACTTCACTTTTATGCTGGTAGTTTTCTGAATATCTTCAAAGATGCATTGCAACCTGCACAGACAGTCATGTTAATGAGAAAGCACAATCTATTTGGTGGTCTTTGATCACGATGTCTGGGCAATTAGTTTTGATTATTCTGTCTGTGTGTATTGTAAAGTCCCATAAAATTGTTACATGCCCTATATCAATAACAGGGTCTGGTTGATGCTCATAACCATTTCTGGCAGTTTCCTTCCAGTAATAACTACATATTTTCGAGTGAAGATATTGATGACGAGTTTTATATTCAGTTAGTCCTAACACCGTCTAACCTGATAGCAGATGAATAGTTGTTAATAATATTTCCTTTGATTTGCTGCTGTATATTAATTTCGTCCCAGGTCCCAATAAGTGACCTAAGGTCAATGATAGCATCATTCCACTGAGCATGTTTTGCCGAAAAAATTATTATTATTATTTATTATTATTATTATTTATTATTATTATTATTATTATTATTATTTGATAACTTCCCGGAATATCTGATATTTTGGTTGGTTAGGATTATATCTCACATTTTACCTGCAACTTAGTGACTGAACTGTTATGGTGTCCTCCCTCTAATTAGTCTATTGTGGACTCTTCTACTTAGTAGAAAATTAGTAGAAATGTAAGAGGAAGAGTCAACCAGATTGTTCATCTGTCGCACTCTCTGCCTCGAGCAGAGAGGAAACCGGACGAGGCTTTGCTGCAGGGCAAAGTTTTGTCCGGGGAGTAGATAGGCCCTGAACCCGTTTATGCGGGTTCTAAGGGAATATTTTTGGGCTGAGCATACGGGTTCGGAGAACCTACGGTAAACTCAGCCTTGTGCCGCATACATCCCTGGAGGTGGTGGGGCTGTTAAATATTAACCGTCTAATAGATTGATCTACCGGACTGTGACTGTTCGCAGCTGTTGTCGAACTCTATACCTTTGGGCAGAGAGGAACCTGGACGAAGCTTTGCCGAAGTGCAAAGTTTCGTCCGATGAGGTAAACAGACCCTGAACCCGTTCGTTTATACGGGTTCTAAGGGAATATTTTTGACCGGGCCTACGGGCTCGGAAAACCCATGGAAAACTCGGGTTGTGCCACATACATCCCTCATAGGGGTGCTGTTAAATATTAACAGTTTAATAGATTGAACGCTGGTCAATCGACACACACTCCCAAGTCATGTAATCCTCTAATATTGTATTTATTGTTCAATACACGATTTATCTGCAATCCAAACCATTAGTTACAACAACAATATTCCTGTGTTTTGTGTTCTTAGTCACTTTCTCTCTCTTCTTCTTCTTCCTGTCGTCGTCGTCATCATCATCATCATTATTATTATTATTAACCGGGCTTTTTTATTTTCTTATTATGATGAATCTTAAGTTGATGATTGAATTAGCTCATGGCGACGTCTACGACAATAAAAAAAATCCGTAGAAATGTCCCTATCGTTAAACAAAATTCACATCATTAAAATACATTTCAATAACAATCATAAATATGAATGCTGGTAATTCTTTGAAGAATTGGGGAATTATTCCATTTCAATGAAAAAGCCGTCAAACACCTCTTTTCACGCCATTAAAACGTAATATGATTTATTGACTGGACGTAAAGGTCGTGCTAACTAATGAAGAGAGGAAAAAGCACAATTATAATAGGATAATGATGATGATTATAAGTAGTAGCAACAATGACAACAACAACAACAGAGGAAACAGAAAAGGAAATGAGAGACAGATGGCAAGTAGGCGATAAAAGAACGAAAAATTTTAGATGTTATTTTGTCACATTATTTATTAATTAATAATTATTTATTTATCAAGTATATTTAATCTTATATTTTATACTGATTTATATTGTTCATATTAACAATTGGGGTGTTGTCTATACTGTACTACTTGGCGGAAGAGTTCATTAGGCGAAAAACGGTCAGAGATGGTGACACATTGACTCAACGGTCTAGTGGACGGGCAGAGGGCGACTCACACAATACTCCGTGGTTTTCGGCTATCGGTCAAGATCTAAGAGAGAAGATGGATGCCACTAGGCTATCTGAATGACTCATGAAAGTATCATGAGGAAGAAGAATCAAACAACTCGGCCTGGACCCGGATCAAATGCGTCCGAGTGCCTCATTAACTCACTCCAGGGCGGCCGTGACAAGTGGGCGACCGGTGCAACAAACAACATCAACCTATCAAAGAAGTAAGTGACCATTCGGAACGTGGACGCTTAACATTGTCTACGCTTTTAGAAAAAGCGTGGACTGACATGACAATGCTGGAAATGATGGGAGTCATCACCAATAGATGAGACCAGAAGAAGGTGTCTTTTTTTCTCTATCCCCACGTCATTCCGGCGGCTGAAGCAGTCGAGAAACAGGTGACGATAGTCACATTTGTTAAATGATGACAGAGCTTAAAATTGGCAGAGTTAATGGAGTCATTTATCCCTAAAAAATATAAATATGGCACATATTCGGTCGATTAGAAAAGATAGACGATCTACATGAGATATCTAGATCCGTCAGACATTAGCAGACAGTATTTATAGAAGTAAGTGACCATTCGGAACGTGGACGCTTAACATTGTCTACGCTTTTAGAAAAAGCGTGGACTGACATGACAATGCTGGAAATGATGGGAGTCATCACCAATAGATGAGACCAGAAGAAGGTGTCTTTTTTTTTCTCTATCCCCACGTCATTCCGGCGGCTGAAGCAGTCGAGAAACAGGTGACGATAGTCACATTTGTTAAATGATGACAGAGCTTAAATTGGCAGAGTTAATGGAGTCATTTTATCCCTAAAAATATAAATATGGCACATATTCGGTCGATTGTGAAAGATAGACGATCTACATGAGATATCTAGATCCGTCAGACATTAGCAGACAGTATTTATAGATATTGGACTAACTATAGGTAATATTTGGCATATTGATATCCAGAAACCAGGTTGTATTACAGCAGATTATATATTTCTCGCAACACATAGAAATTATTATTATTGCTGTTGTTGTTGTTGTTGCTGTTCTTCTTATTATTATTATTAATATTATTAACGAAACATGTAATAGAAAGATAGCTGCCAAAGGACATAAACCCAATCCCCATATATATATATATATATATATATATATATATATATATATATATATATATATATATATATAAAAC